CAAATAAGCTGTCACCCTCATGCAGTTCCCTTGCTGCGAGCAACACCACGCTGTATTGAAGGTGGAGATTCACATGTGTAAGCTCTTACCTGCATCGTATGGCCCAAACGATCCATCCCTAGTGACAATCTGCAGATTGCACTGAATGCCAGGCAGGGACCCTGCAGGAGTCTGCCCCAGGCACGTCCTACGGAGGCTACATTCTGCGCTGGCCGATCTTCTGAAAACAAGGGGCTTCGTTATTGGAAAGTTCACAGTCCTGTGGGCAAAAACAGATGCAAAAGCTGCAGACTGCAGGTCAAGCCTCTTCTTAGGTGGCTTATTGTTGATATTGCAATCCTATACATTGCCTCTGATGGGAGAACATGAGTGCTTACATTTCATCAAACCAACATGGTAGCATGAGACGTACACACGGCAGCTCATGGTTCACAGAACGTAAAGCAAATGCGTTTTATTTGGGCTTTCAGTGAAAGTTCTAGCATCTTAGATCACATTCTGTAGATGATACTCATGGTATCTGAAGACATCCTCAGCTGGTATAAAACGCACCTCCTCTGTGGTCACCGGAGCAGTGCAGCTGTGTAAGATCTGTGCTTACTCCCAGAACAGTCACAGCCTAACAATTCCTGACGGCCACCATAAGTGCAGATTCTGATACATACGAAAATGGTATTATTGCAATCACTTTAAACCTCTTACCTTTTCCCTCTCAACTGAGTCCTTTGTTTTCAAGTCTGTGACAGCAATAGAGTAAAAATCTGCATTCCAAAGCAGACCTCTTGTTGCCAAAACACTGCACTGCAAATTAAATTTGCTTCACATTAATGAAAGTGATCCTTTTTGTACTAGTGACTGGTTTATCATTATAGACTTAGCTTATAATTGTGTTAATTAGAAATAACATCTCTGACCCTCTCTTACCTTCAGCTTAATGCCATCATTTCAATCTGTATAAAAGCTCTGTATGTAAGCATAGCTGTACTCAGGAGCAGTTTGCACACACGTGGGGAACAAAGAAGGATCAAAAACAGAGGACACTGTTAAAACACTACAATTTACCAATCAGTAAAAATTCCATATGATGTACCTCTTTATACACATCAGCTCCTGAGCTTAGCAGATGAGCAAGTGGGACTACTATAGGATATTTAACTATAATAGAAACTAAAGACGCTGGTGAAAAAAAAACTACCTGCCCTAAGGCTTCTCTGTTACCTATATCAAAACTGATTTTTGAGACTCTTTTGTTTGGATGGCACACGGAAGAGTCCTGCACACAATTCAGGACATGGCAAAACAATGCCTTGAGTGGGCAATAACTGATTTACTTACATTATGTTTCAACAGAACAAGACCTTGTGAACACACCCACCCTGTCCACCTACCACATAACATTATCAGGAAACTACATGCAAGAGAAATTAGAAATAGCAACAACTGATAGTGCCTTACAATGCTGCTTAAGTAACAGCAAAGAAGTGTAAGAGCTGAGGCATTTTTCTTTTTGTACCTGCTGTAAGTTGAATGAAATCTACCATTTAGCAAATAATTGCTGGTTTAAAAAAGAACAAACAAAAAATCACAACAAAAGTAATTCATATACTTCAAATTTTTATGCACATGAAAGTGCGCAAATAAGTAAAAGCAATATTGTAATAAAGATCCAGATGCCTGCTAAAGCTTCTTACACAAGTTACACTTGTTAGTCTATCTCATAATTTTTGGTGAACTTACCTTCTTTCTGGTGTAAAGTTTTAGGCAGCTATTTACTGAAGTATCTTCAGTGGCCATAACTGGCATTACACACCTCCTCCCATCACATCTGCAGCAATGTGCTTGCTAAACTGCAAGTAGCAGCAATCAAAAGCATTAATACGGTAAGCTATTCAGATCAAAAACATTCTGATCTGATTACTGCTCAAGTCATAGGCTACAGTAATTAGCTAACTGAGCTTACATTTTAGTAAGAAACATTTTTTCCAGTGTAAAGTTTCCTGACTTGAGATATTTTTAGTTGCAAATGTCTTATTTAAAGCTGTGAGTCTGCCAATCTTCATTCAAGAATGCTGGAAACAAAACATAGGGCAATTCTTATATGCTTAGACAGAAAAAAAATGAAAGTCAGTCCTACTGCAGGAGTCCAAATAGACAGTCCATAGCTCTGGACTGGGAAAACCACTGCAAGCACTGCCAAGCAATATCTGCAGTGTAGTTTGGAGGGAGCCAGGATATCTGCAGCATTATGAATTCAGTAGCCAGTTTGTTAAATATGGGAAGGGTTGAGACGGCGAGAGCAAAACCCTACTTCAATCCCTAAAGCTTGTATATTTGATAGCTCAGGAAGGCACTGAATAGACTCCACATTAAGGTTCCTTCATATCAAGAAGATGCTGGGTTAGAAAATGCAACTAAATGAAAATCCAGGGGATGGTTGATGGCGTAGTTAAGCCATCTTCAGCATCCCTTTTGATGCAGGTCAGCTTTGACCAGGAGTAAGAGTCAGCTGTGTATACCATCAGCAGATTCAGGAGGAAAGATAGCAAACAGTCCTTCGAGATTTTAATTGCCGATACTGAAAAAAAAAAAAAATTGTGAAAAGCAAAAGAGGATTAAAAATACCACTAACGCTCAACCTGTAAATCTTACAAGAAGTTTGAGAAGTAAGAGGTCAGTGTTAAAAAATACTTCCAATTCCCAACATGCAGTCTCATACTTGGGCTGCACACAGGTAGCAGCAAGCAAACATCAAAGCATAAGAAGAGATTCAAGAATGGAATAAACAGGTAGACAAGGCTAACAGGTACAAGGTATTTTATAAGCATGAATTGGTAAAAGCTTAGAAGTGAAGGAGGGGAATTCCTACCCTAGTACTTTTATCCCACCTATCTCAGCATCCATTCAGAGAGGAACAAAGTCTGAAAAGAGACAAGGAGAGAGGAAATGGGCAGTCCTAAGGATGCTCAGAGCTCTGACTCCTCATCTTCATGTGGAGGCAGTCTTTAACATCACAAGCAGAAAGACGCAGCAAAGAGAAAAAAGCTGCCCATCTTTAAAAGTAGCTAAAAATTAGGTACTCTTTAGCCACTTCATTTCATAGTGACTAGCTAAAACAGGTCCTACTCTCGGAAGCAACATTCAGAGACTGCATGGTGCTTAGCAAATCACGCAGATCCAGTCATGTCCCATGAACTCCTGTGCCACACAAACTCTGCTTCCAGTCTTTTCCAAAGCATCGCTATGCTGGCCAAGTTGAAGGTGGTCCCACAGTTCATAATGCACATGTTTACAAAGCATGAACACCTTAGAGCCTGTGAGAGAACACTGAAATCTAAAAGCATCTACCACGTGGTAAGAGCTGCATTTCCTGTGCATTCGTGGGTCTGAAATGTAACACCAGTGCTGAATGTAGCATAAGTGTAACACAAGTCAGCTGAATGGGGAAGAAAAAGTCATACACTGTAGTATTTCAACTGTCTCTGAATATACAATTCTTCCAGTCCCAGTAGCAAAGACAAAAGAAATGCCACACTCAGGTCAGGCTTTCTAGTTCAGTGTCCTGTCTTTGATACTGGACAGTAGCAGATGTGTCAAAAAGCATGCAAGAACTCTAATAGTTGTTAAAAACCTACCTCCTGAGGGAAGCATCTCTATTGTTTATGCCATCAGCACAAGGGTTTGTACCATTATGAGTAAGGGTTGAGTTTTTTCCTCCCTATTTCTTCTATGTATTCCTTCTCTCCGACTCTCATTTTCCTTCTCTTCAAGGCCTCTGCATCCTCCCAGGAAGTGGACATGTCTCATGGTGTCATCTTTCAGCACATGCAAAAGAAGCAGCCAGAAGGGAGGGGTGCCATACCCTTGCATGTAGCACTGCCCTTCTAGCAGGATTATCCTGCTCTGAGTCAGCCTGGCTGAGGCTTTAACCCTTTAGCTTCCAGCACTGCCCTACAAGGAACAGGAGCTAGCCAGGGGAAAGCTGCAGCTCTGAAGGGCCAGGGCCCAGACCTAAGGGTGCAGAACTTTCTGACCTCTGTTTCTAGAGGAACAAACAAAAAGTTAACATTGAGGACTGCTGGGAATGCAGTTCTCAGGGCAGGGTGAGCTACTGTCACATGGCTTGTACACATTTCTCTAAGCAAAGTTTATGTTTAGGGAACACAAAAACAACTGCTAGAAATGTACATGAGATGACATTTTATTATTATGCACAATTTGTATCATTCACAGCTTACTGGTCTGTAGTCCTAGAGTGTAGTGGATATGTACAGAAGCAAAAAGTGAAATGACTTTGCATTGACAGTGAAAATAAATCACATTTTAATGTTAAATCACACTATTCATTGCATCTCAGTAGACATAGAGGATATAGAATAAACAACAATAATTCTCATATATTGAGAGCTCAAGGGTCTTCCACTCACATTTCCCGACTTACATCTAAAGTACCTGCCTTTAAGCTGAAGTCAAAAACCCACAAACAACAACAAACAAGTAAGGGAGGAAGAACAGTAGAGCACAAATGTTGCCCTTTCTTTTTTTAAACTCAGCAGCCTTTGAAAAGAAATAAATAATATCGCCAACAACTGTGTAGTTTTATATTTCAAGTCATACTTTAGCTCTAATTTTAAAGAAGTGCAAAGAAAACCAACAGAACTGAAATTTACTTAAATACAGTCACTTAGTATTCCATGACTTTCTTGAATTACTAACAGATTCAACATTTTTGTCTTTAAAGCTATTCACTCCAATTATGTTTCTTGGGTAGAAAAGTAATGAAATATTCAGAAAAGAACAGTAATGATAGCTGAGTAGCTAACAATACAGTTTTAGTTTGCATGTATTAACACATATTTTGCACATTTTTATCACAGCTTTGTTGTTGGGTATTTGTTTTGGTGAGGGTTTTTTATGGCAAAACAATAGACAGTCTAGTTGTTTCACAGGAAGTTCATAAGGGAGTAATGCCACAGTCTTAAAGTACATACTTCAGTGAGGTTTCACCACTCCGCATCCCCAATGGCTTTTGCAAAAACATGGTCTTTACCCTCAAAGGACATCACTCCATCTTTTAAGTAGAACTTCCATTTGTTCTTACTTCGATGTATCTGATAAAAGAAATAAGTCAATGCCCACCCACCTCCCCCAAAAAAAAAAACACAACACATATTAGACCAACTAATACTTGATTTACAAAACTTGTCTTTCTCTCAAAATCCTGATAGCCCAAAACATGTGAAACAATTCCACTGAACACAGCACAAACAATCAATAGAGGTAGTAGATTTCAGTTGTTTATAATAGATTCCCTGGCTTCTCAAGGGAACAACCTTCTGAATCTTAGCACACACACACATAAAAAGACAAAGGTAGTTGTGTGAAAGCTCAACGCTGGCAGGAAAACAAGACAATAATGGAGAAATTTCATTAGTGTATCAGTCCCAAAATATACTGCACCTTGCAAACAAGTATGGCTTAACTGAAGGGCAGTGGTTTCCTTCTCTCATACACATTGCAAAGCAATATTGCATTAAGATAAGGCTAGAAGCAGGAAAACTTTGCTGAAAAGCAAATACTGCCATACAAAACAATAAGAAAAAATCTGCATGTTCTGTTTCTTTTTAAGGGCCTGCAAATCAATCTACACCACAAAGTTTTTGTTTAATACTAAAAGAAGACATTTTAAACATCTCTAGAAAATTCCTTGGATTTTAAGCATCGGTCTATTTTCAAGTTCAGAAAGGAAAAACAGAGGGATAAAACAAATGAAATAGGACAGTCATTTTGCAGACAGCATTCTTTTATAGGTAACAAGGTAATTTAATAGGTAACTGTTTCCATCTACTTTCTACTGGGCCTGCATGTTTTTATTAAATCAATATACAAAAGGGGAAAGTTACCAACGTCTTCCCCCAACATCTGTAACTGTCAATTTCTAACATCTGATCTTAAATTTCCTATATATGTGTCCCACGCTGAACTTCCTATCAGTTTTTAAAAATTTTCAACCAATTTTTCAGCTTATTACAGGCAAAGCTTGCTGTACGTAAGAGCATCCCCTACTTATAGCATCTGTAACATTAAACTGAGTTATGAAGCTTCAAAACTTCATGTACCTTTTCAGTACAATACAGACATCATGGCTCAATTTCAGATGCATTTTCTACACGTACTCCTATAACTATGTTTTCCAAAATAACTAGTTTCACAAACACTTAACCTGTTACACTTTAGTACGGACAATTTTCTTAGCAGCTCCTATTTCCTAAAACACAGACACCATTAAGGCAGGCCTAGTTGAACACACACAAAAAAATTATCACTCGTCACTTTTGAAAGAATAAAAGCCAAGGCGCATTCTTAAGCAAACTACAGACATATTTTTCCATATTTGTTTCAAACTAAGATACGCACTTTGTCAACTTTTAAACTACTTGCACATGGTCCGAAACCGTACAAGAGTTCTAAGCACTTAATTTGATCTTCAAGAGTTCAAAATAAGGTTGAATTTTAAATATTGAAATGAAGGAGGACAAAGCAGCCCTTAGCAACTGTTGTGTTTTTCAGACACGATAGAATTCTGGTAGGAAAACCTCTCAGTAAGCACTCCAGAGACAAAAAAAAAAGCCATAAAAGTACACAGGCTCCTCTTTCTGTTACCCATTTCAAAAAATCTTAATTCATGGCTGTAAATGCATACAAACATCCATGGAGCTGTTGATATTACTTAAAAGTTAAGGAAATGCATAAGCTTTTGCAAGATTTGGTCCTCTCTCCTTTTTCTTTTATAGGCCATTATGAACCCATTGATTATCCTTGTTTCAGAAAATAGCAGGTAAGTCTTCAGGCTATTGTCAGCTAACCATGTAATTTGAGCACTCAATTATTACAGCATTAGATTTTCTTTAGAAGGCACTGACAGTAGACCAGACATGGATTTGCTGAAGATATTACTTAGAATGATTAAAGAACAAAAGATAAAACTATATACTGTACCTTGTCATACTGACAAACTATCACATTGTCAGTGTCAAACAAGTCTGGAGTGTCCTGTTCGCTGACATCATCACCAGAATTTAAGGGGTCCTAGAGATTAAAATTGTATTTTATGCATTCTTTCAGAATAGCATTGAATATATTTGACATTATTGTTGTAGGCATGTATAAAGGTTACTATTGCAAAAATCAAGACCTAGAGGTTATAAAGACTATATTGCACAAAGCTCATTTATAAGCACCTTTACATGCTCGTGTTCTCAAAAATGCCCTAAACAAAAACACAGGACGAAAAACAAGACTGCTAACTGACGAAGCAGACCTCAGTAACTGGAATTTATTTGAAGTCCAGATGCTACGAGTTGATTCCCTTGTGAATCTCTAGGATACAAAATTGCACATCTTTAAGAAAAGCCTTTTCCTAGGAAACATACATACTTGTATCACATCGTTCTATTCTCTGCCTAATTCCCTGTGGTCCTTCAGAAAAGAAACCTAGATTGGTATCGCAATCTTAAATAAAAAGCAGAACTCCATTCCACTGAGGCCAGGGTTTTACCATAAAACTTTAATTCTGGTAATTAAGTATCTTAATTCATCCAATAAACGACTTCTCAACATCTCTTTCATTTGTCCACGCTCCTCATAACGAGCTCGCAAGTAATTTCTCAGTAGTACCTCCTTTCTCAAGAGGTATGTAACTTAACTATGCATTCTCTGCATTAAACTTACCAGAAATTGTTCTGGGTCCAACAATTCAACAGTCAAGACAGATAAACGATTGTAATGTGCTTTGCAAGGCTTAAAAGTAAATTACCTCCTCAACTACATCTATTTCAGGCTCTTCATCACCACCAGCGCTGCTGCTAGACTCTGTGTTTGAAATACTGTCACATTCTTCATCATCGTCTTCCTCATCCTCCAGAACTTTTAAATCCTCTGATTCAATAATGCCAATGAATTCATTCTCTTCCTCATCATTTGTATGTGGTATTTCTTCCTTGGGAGAAACATCACCAGTTCCATCTAGCTGAATTATGCCCTCAATGTCACTACAGATATCCTTCTCTGATCGTAAATTAGATTCCATCTGCTCCATACGTTCCACCTGACAAGAATAAAAGAGACCAGAGACAGCTTGTGAATTAACACCACATATCTTTCATTGTTCAGTACAAAGCCTGAGATTTTTGTTTAAGCAAGCAACAAGACTGGGGCACTAAAATGAGAGTTTCAAGTCCTGGCCTACTTGTAAACCCTGAGTACATTTGCAAATCTTGTTCTTACACCTACTCTTAAAGAGAATCCATGCCAAATATTCCTCAGCAATATAGAAAGACATTCTTTTAGACTTTTCTTTAAACATTATTGTACTCAAACAACTTCTTATTCTTAAGAATAAGATGACAGAGCTGGCCTTTACAATTTCTATAGCAAAGAAAATTCCAAACACAAAACAAAAAGAAAAAAAAAGGAAACGAGCTGCTCCTCTGCCCCCTAAACCAGCATTTTTTGGTTTTGAAATAAAAGTCTAGATTAATTCATCCCTCTCCCTCAACTCAATCAAAATGCTTTGTTTAAATAAGATATAAAAAGCTGAGAGAGGCAGTAAATATTTCAGAACTTTAAGCTACTGTTCATAAAAGGGCTAGAATTCCTAAACCGAGCATTCACAGGAGCATAAAAGGGCTTTAAGCTTTCAGCCATCTTTGGTTTCTTGTTAAATCTTTATTGTAGCACTTAATTCACATCCATGTACACTTTCTAGTTCAAGAAAATAACACTTTGTTTTGATCTTCCATTTTTACTACAGACAGTCTTCACCATTCTGCATCAAAGTTCAGATGAGCAACTAACATGCTTTCCATTTACAGTCATTTGTCATTACTGTCATTAAATTTGCATTTAATAAATTTGCCTCAATCACATATAAGCACTACAACTCAAAGTAAGCAAGCCAGCCTGAACACAAAACATCTGCAAATAATTTCTGGAACAAAAATTAGATGAGATCAGGAAAATGGCTCGTTAATTAAAATCAGTCAAGTTTTCTACACAAGTCTAGTTGAATTCTAGTTGTTCAGGATTTTTTTCCCCAAGGAAATACATTTCTTTCCAGCAAATTTTCACTTATCAAATCTGACTTTTCATACTCAATATGTATTCTCAATGCAAGTTAAATGCTCTTCACACATCTCAAGTTAAAACTAATCCCAGCTGACATTGCAAAAGCAATTTGCCCACAGCTGGCCAGTATCCACATGCAGGTTCAGTGTCAGAATGACAGGGAAGTTCTCAAAGGGTCATTCATGTCTGCTCAGTCGCAAAAAAACCCAAAACTATTCTCCCCAAAAACAGTCAATAAGACTAAGAATACATTATATCTATCCCTTACACTTTTAGCATTTTTTAGATTAACATTCTCTTCAATCTCAGTATTTCAACAATATTTGTAACAAATTCTTAATTTAAAAATAAGCAGTCAGCTACCGCTATTCAAACAAGCTCAAAAATTAACTTTTAAGTGATAATAATTTTTATTATTAAAATTTAGAGGTGCTACTTGTCACTTACAGGTGTGTGTGATCACATCTCTTACAATACAACCATCTCCAACAGACATATTTTCACCAGCTGCGAAACAAAAGGCCTTACCTTGTCAGAGGAAGCCATGCTGTCCTTCAGAACAGCGTTATCATCCAAACTGTTGCCCGCGATAATCAGTTCAATGATATCATCAGACATGTGCTGTTGCACCGACTCCTGAGGCTCAATGTCTAACTGCCCCTCCACATCCAGCAGTACACTAGTCGAGTTGTTTGCCAAGGATTCAGTGGGAGGAAACCCTTCAGAAGATTCTGGAGTAAACACAGTTGTGTGAAGACAGCTGTCCTGGGATTTTTCTGTTGAGTCTGCATGCTGATTCAACACTGCACTAGTTGCAAGTTGCTGCTGACTCACAGAAGGCTGCTGGACCAATGTAGCATTGGCAGAGTTCTCCAGGTGTTTTTCTTCCATGACATTTGATTGAAATACCATGGTCTGTTGGACAGCAGTCTCCTGGGGTTGCAATGTTTCAGCAGCTGCCTGGGCAGAAGATGGATTCACCTGTGTGACACTGGCAACGTTGGCTTGCAGAACTGGAGGTTGCCCAAGGGTCTGAAATATCTGCTGAACAGGATGATGTAGAATATTTGCATCTCCTGAGGCCTGAGTAACCATAACAGGCATGTTTACCTTATAAAGGTGCCCTATAAAGAGAAGGGTTAAAAACGGCTTCAGCAGGTTAAACTACAGGTTCATCCAGGCCACTGTCCTGTTATCCCTAATAATCAATAGCAAATACTCAGGCAAACTACGAGAAACACAATGTTTACAAAGCACTATATTCCCCAAGCACAATTTCGGCCTTTGAAATTAAGTGTTCCGAGGCTTTTTTAGTCAGAGCTTCCATCCAGACCACCACATTTAATATCCACTTTTGGGTTTGGATTTTACTTAAAAAAAAAAAAAAGGAAAAACCTGTTTTACATTTGTTTCCAAGTCATTTCAGAAACCAAGGAATACAAGACGAAACGGTAAACTACTCCATATCTACAGGGACAGTTCACTCCTTCCGACAAAGGAACATATCTGATCTCTAAGGTCCCTTCCAGCCTATGCCATTCTATGATTCTATGATATTTGCAAGCAGTTGTACAACAAAAAAATGGCATCACCTGGCAGCCCTGTTAACCCATCTTGCAAGTGTGTACAACTGACACACTAACTCATCAATGTAATTACTTCCCCATGCAGCAATTACAAACGCAAACAAAGGAAGAGGAGAGCTGGCTCTACCCACCTATACTTTAACTTCAGATTTGTTTTATCTGCTGCACTCAGGACCATCTTTCAGTATCCACATACAGTCAATGCACTGTAACGTTTTACATCTCCTCTTTAATCTTACCAGATGCTGTCTGTAGTGTCACTCCAGCTGGTACATGTACAGGATAAGCAATCCCCGAAGGGAGAGTAAGAGTTGCACCTGCTCGTGAAGCACCCTAGATACACAAGAGCTTTATTAAGAAATAGTGCATACTTTATCTCCTAGAGCCCTAACTGTCACACGTAACACATCCAGATGAAACACAAATGAGGGCCTTTTTGTGATCATCTTTACTGAAGAGTTACTTCAGACTTTTGCGATTTAAACAGATAAAGAGTATTCTGTATTGACAGGATAATGACTTGCCCTAAGTGTTTCCTATGTTCCAGTTATCACATTCCCTTTCCATTTACCGAACACTTTTCTCTACCCCCTCAATGTACACACCATCCAGAAAGGTATTTTTCCACTCAGAGCCACTTTTACCTAAGCTTATGTATAACTCAACACAGCACAGACTCCTTGCCTAGGCCTATGAAGTCACTTCACATTCTCTTTTTCTCCTGGAAAGCGAAGAGCTGGATATGAGGCTCCCTTTCAAACTAGCTGTTCTGAGGAAAACCAAATTTTAAATTAGGAAACTTGCATGTTACACAAACACCTTCCCAATATTATATTTCAGCTTGGCAAGCTAGTTAGCTTGAGGCTCAGGAGGCACTCAATAAGTTCATCAAGCTCTGACAATTCATACCTCCTCCCCTCACCAAACAAATCTTCCCATGCCCAGAGTTCAAAACCTGCCAACTCCAAAAACACTTTCTTGGAAATTATTTCTATGCCTTGCAGATAATCCTGCTCCCGTCTTCACTAGTGCTAGCATTTCCCAACTATGCATAATTTTAACACCCAGTAATAACAAAAAAAAAAATTTAAAAAAGGATCTGTAGATGGCATTTCCACTACACTTCTATCCTATAGGCTAAATACGTGCAGCCATGTATTCCAACATGCTTGCGGCTGCACTGCTTGCAAAACCAACTGGATAGATCCCCATCCTTGTTCACTGCTTAAACAGAAGCAGCAGACTTGCAGCTCTCCCTCTGCAGACTTTTGTATGGTTTTCATTTAAAAAAAAAAAAAGAAAAAAAAACAGGGTTAGAAGTTTCAACACTGAATTTCTTCAGCTGTTGATTCTCTCCCAGCAGAACTCCTGCTCCCTTGCCTACTATACCATACCAGACAGACAAAACAGTCATGCAAAATGCTACTTTTTAGGTTCCTAAATGCTGTCCTAAAGCAGCTATACATGAGAAATATTTAATACTTGCCTCCCCTTAAGCCTATTAACAACTGACAAACTTCATCATTTAGAATTCAGAATAATCAAAATGGAAATAAAATGTCACTACTGCTACATACCAGGTCTGCTGCTGTGAAATGCGGAAAACCTCTGCCAGCTGGGATGACTAAAGAAGCTATCAAAAAAAAAAAAGCCACTTTACAAAAAACAGGAATTTCTCAGACACAGTAGATCTTTCAGTAATTTACAGCAAGCACTGCTGAAACTAAAGCAACTTCAGTTTATACTCATTAGATCAAACAAAAAAGTGAACACATCTAGATAAGCCTCTTAAATATTATTTCCCTTTATGTTGTTTCAAGCTTATGCTGTACTCAGCAGGGAGGGGTTATACCCTGAACTTATAAAACTTATATTTTGCTAAAAGCTGGTCTTGAATTTTTTTTTTTTGTTTAAAAAATATTTCTATTTACCTATTTGATCTGTTTAAGTTGCACTGTAAAAATGAAGCATGCCATTTCTATTTGTTACATCAACTAGAAGGACAGCTGTGCAATGCTACCATTTTAACACGACCAGGAACATATAGGTAAAATGCACTGCCTTGCCAACGGGAGAAAAATGTGCAAGTGTCTTTCTGCACCACAGAAAATCCAACGGTGCTAACAGTAGGAACAGTAAGGTGGGATTTTCAAAAGCACTCACTACTGGCTTCAGTGGGAGAAGATGAGCGAAAGGGAAAACTATCACAGGCTTCAACAAGCAAACAATTTAGGTAGCTCTAAGCACATTGAAAATCTCTAGCCATAGAACAATTCAAATTCCGTTAAAATAAAATAAAATAAAAAGAAAAGTAGTTCACTATCTTCAACAGATTGTTTTGCCTTAGTACTGCTTTTCCAAAAATTAGAAGTACAAGGTAAAGCTCATTAAATATAAAGCCTCCAATAGCAAACAAACCCAAAAGTATATTCCCTTTAACCGCATGGAATAAATAAAACATGTCTCCCAAATCAGTCTATTCAACTATGAAGATCGTAAAAAAAAAAACCAAACCACAACAGGTGAAGAGAACCTCCCCAACCTTGAAGTGCCCTACAACACAGATTTTCATTAAATCATCTCATAGGCTTTTTGTCCTTTGTGGGGAAAGGTCCTAATGGCCTCTCACACAGGAAAAAGCCTCAGCTGAGCATTACACTCTACCATAACACTACCACAGTGGTCAGCTGGATTTAATTGAGAAGAATAGGTCCTGATGTCAGAGGCTGTGTGAAAGTCAAGTACTTCTGCGCCACGGGAATACAGCTTTTAGGAAAAGTAAAGTAACTGAAAGACAAATCAAAAAACTCCCCAAAACCTCCCACTCCTCTGTTTGAGCAAGGCCTTACATTTTAACAAGCACAGAACCAGATTAAACTCCAACATAACAGGAGATCTGCATGGCACAAACATGCCATATAACCTCAGCACACACCATGCCACACATTACAAGGGGAAGTGAAAGCTTAACCCTACTGGTAAATTTGCAATTGAAGGGCTACACTTCCAGACTGCAGACAAGAAGGTTAAAATTCACTGTGCGTTTTGCTACTGGGAATAAGCAGCAGATCAGGTACAAGCAGACATAACTGCATTAGTTTATCAAAGTTTATTTGATCCTCTATTGGTCAAATTCTGCTTTCAATTACTGTTCCCCATCACGCTAGATATAAACATAAGCATCACAAACTAAGATTATTGCAGCACCTTCAAGTCTTCCAAAAAGATTCTTGGATCCCTGAGCTATTCTTAAATTGCATCTGTAGCGTTCAACAACATCTGACCTGCTGAAGCCTGCAGAATGCGGTGAAAATTGTGCGGCAACTGCAGGGTAAACTGTGGAGAACGGTGGCTATGTCTGAAGAAGCCTTCTGTTGCTTTAGACTGCATCACCTTGGTTTCCCAAAGCTGCAGAAAGATTATTAAGGTCAACAGATACCAGTTTTTAAAATAGACCACATCTAAAATGATAAGCAGGTATTTCTAGTTTTTCCAAAAGTAACCTGACTGATTCTATCCAATAAACACAGTAACAATCGCTACTGAATTTTTACTACCAGTAGCCCAATAATACATCATCTGCAGGATACTTGTAAGTCTAAGTTAGGACAAAAGCTTGCATGTTTTGAGAGGCAAAGAAACAGACAGATACATCCGCTCAAAAGAAAAAATACTCAACTTCTATTAATGCAAGGGAACCCAACAAACCTGCTTCAAGTCTTTCAGAACCTGTTCCTCTACACCCTCTTCTGCAAAGAGTTCCCGCACACCTTCAATCACATCTTCAATAATGGACTTGTACAGTTTAGGCTATATTAAAAATATATATATATTTTCAAGTTAAGATGAATATTAACTCATTTGGAATGATAGCATCAAGTCTAATGTCACTGCATAAACTACTGTTAACAAACTGAATAGCATGAAGAGATCAGCGTAATAAACTGAATACTCCGTCAAATGCAAAGATCTGCAAGTCGACTCATTCTTTTAAATCTAACATCCCTGGGAACAGACATCCCTGGAAAAATACTGGATTTGAGCCTCAAATTATTGGTTTCTGCAAGCTACAGAAACGTTTAAGAAAATCCTAGAAACATTACAAAAGCAATTGCTGTGCTGTTATTTTCAAACAAGCATGTCAAAAATGTCAGTTTAAAAACAGGCATTTACTGTTTGGTATCATTCCGGTGTCATCGCCCCTAACATAAAGGCCAACAAACAACATAAGCTACTAAAAATGAGATGTGTCAATTCTATCACAAGCATAATGTAAGTAACCTGCAAAAAATAACAGGGATTTTATTCTTTCTTTGTGATAATAGCCTGATGCTGTACAGTAGTTTAGCTATGGAAATTTTAACACTATAGTTATCAATACCTATCATTCATCTTGTATTACAATAGGACTGCAATGCAACATTTTATTCCTTCTTCTGCCCATCCATGTCAGTGATTAAATCCTAATCCTACAGTCAGACCTGGACAGCAGACACACATAAGCTTCAAAATGCATCCATTCAGACGTAAATGTAAGACAATAAGCTTTAGCAATTTAAAGCTTATTAATCTTGACTATCATTACCACCAGACTAGGCTACACAAGGTGAAAGATGAAGTTGAGATTTTTAGGAAATCTTAGAAGTTAAGATTGAGGGGTATTAATTTACATTTTTCTAACTTAACATCAAATTAATAATTTACTGCAGATAAACAATTTGTTTTTCAAAAAAAAAAAACTAGAAGCTATTAAGACATAACAAGTTACACTTTTAGCGAAAAGCTATCATCACAACATAGTACTACTTTTAAATAACTATATTCATATCTGACTTCTTATGGGAGGTTAGAGATATCCAAGAATTCCCCCAGCACATTTCAGTGTACAAGGAATACATGAAGAGAAAAAAAAAAAAAAGGACTTTTGTACCACTATACTAAAAGATGTTGACTAGCCCGCATGTCAAATGCTTTGCCTTCATTGTTAATCCAGAAAAGAAACTGAATTTAAATCTTTCAACAGGCCTATTCCTCTCCCCAGGACTGCCAAGCCAGAACAAGTACAAATATTTATTATGCTATATAAAAACTGTACGTAGCAACCGTAAAACTCAAACACTACACCCTTCCAAATTAGAGGGAAACGGTTACAGTGCGGAGGTTACTGTACTCCAGCTTCATCCCTTCGCACACAGGCGCTCCTTTCCCAGAACCAGCCCATCCCCACCGGACAGTGCCGGCGCCAGGAACGAACAAACTCCGCTCTTCTTTGCGTACAGCGCGCTGAGAGGGGCTGACCGACACCCCGTTCCAGCAAAGCCAGGAACAAGTCCTAAAGCGAAGCCTTCAAGGCTTCCCTGGGACTGGCGTCACCTGAAGGGGCACCCGGAGCCCCGGGTACGGAGGGGCGGCC